GTTGTGTCCCGCAAGGCTGTGCCGGGGGCTGTTAGCTGGAGGTGCCTGTGGGTCGGCCCGGGTTAGGCACCGCACCGACCCTGCGGCGTGGTTAAGCCGCAGGGCCTGTGTGATCTGGAACCCCCGTTAACAGAGCTTATAATGTTATGGAAAGCTAAACTGGGGTTCTTAATGTTCAAACTAGCTTTCTAAAAGGTTGTAAGCTTCTCAATGTTGCTATTTTTGTGCAGTGCTTTGCTTGCCTTTTTTTTCTTTTTTTTTTTTTTTGGTGTGTGTGAAAGTCTGGCTAGGCTTGTGGTATAAGTATAGCACATCAGAGAGAGCCCAATACTGAAGATCTCTTCTCCCTTTAGAATAGTTTTTCTTTACTGAAGAGCACTCGTCCATCTAAGTGCGCAGAACCCCTCCTCTCCTCACCAGTATGTATGAGTAGGTGTTTCAAAATGCATTACATCTGTAGACGCTTAATATTCTACAGCCCACAACTACAGATTTGCAACTTAGTACATGTAGTCAAAGGCTGTGTTTATGCATGGCCTTCTGGCTTGTAGCTTGTATATTCAAAGATAGGTCAGAGCCTACAGTTAACTTTCAATATTTGAAATACAGAAGTTTTAAAAGCCTAACTGACTTGGTTGTCAGAGAAGTTTCTTTGACTTGGAACAGGACCTGCGGTCAGTTGTCCAACATCAGTGGTGTAGCCTAGCCAGTTTCCAGAGGGTTGGGTAGTGCCCTTGCCATCCAAGCTCTTTCAGTAGTTTGCTTTTAAACTCTCCCATAGGTGCTCTTTTACTTTGTTCCAGCAGATACTTTTAATATGGAGAGACAAACTAACTTCTTACCTATCTCATATGGGAGTCTTAGACTAAGTTGCTAGTTTAGATCTCTTCTTCGAGTGACCCTGCTGAGTGTCTTAAAAATAAGTCTCCACTGAGTGAGTGCCCTGACCCTCAGTTATTTTGAGGGCCCTGATTAGCAGTTTTTCATTCAAGAAATGAAAAGGTTTTTGTAAAGCATTGTCAAATTTTTGAAAGTTATTAAAAAATATTTAACAGGGTAAAAATGGGAGGAAAAAGAATACTAAAAAGGGAAAACATTTCCTTACCTAATAGTAATGTAAGACATGCAATCCCCCAGGTCTTTCACAAACAATCTGAACACAGATTGGAATTTACTCACATTCATTGCGCAAGTGTACCAGCAAAAAAGCTCATGCAAGCAACTATTTCAAATGTATTGTTTATATACCCCATGTCATAACCTGTCTGAGCGAGTTGGGAGAAAAAGAAAATCTTTGTTTCTTTCATACATTAGTGTTTTCTCTGCCTACGTGCAAGTTATTTTCTCTAGTCCTACTGTTTCTGGACGTCACATTATGTGAGACCCAGTTCCTGAACTTTATATAGTCAGTCAATGTTATTCCAGTAAAAGATACATCATTGTTTGTATGTGTAAAATTAGCTGTCTTGGTGTCTAGAGGATGAAGACCTAGCTATGTAAATCATCGGCTGAGGTGATTCTTTGAGTAGAAGCTCCCAAGGGTTTCAGTGAAGCATCGGGCGTTATGTTTTCATTTCCATTTCATTCTTTCTCTTGCTCCTGTTATCCTCCCTTTTCATTTCATGGTGAACAGTAGTTATCTCAGAATTCTTTTATACCAGTTTAGATAGCTGTACAATATTTTTGGTGCACAACATAATTACTACATCTTTTAAAGATTATTTCAGATTTGTAACTTCCATATTTTAATTGAGGCCTGTATAATAGTTTAGTTTATGAAACTCTTCAGCCAATTAGGTAGGGTTGTTAGATTTAATATTTAATACAAGATCTGGAAATAACAGAATTGGTCTTACCATGTGCAATACCAGGCTACAGCTATTATCTTTATGTTTTGTTTGGAGGAATGTAAGAGATGATTCTTAACTTGGAAGTAATAGCTGAAGATTCAAAAGGATACTTCTTTTAAGGGGGAAGAGGTAGCTGTCAGGATTCTTGTGGTACTTACTCTTTTTTGCATGGGAGGGACAATGAACAGCATTTACAGTTCTCCGGTGCTCTTCTGTGCATTTGCAGTATGCTTAATTTAGGGTATCCTAGGGAAGCTTGGTAACAAAGCTGATAGTAAGTACTGTGGCAACCAGATGAAATTAACTGTATTTTACATCTGTTTAAAAGGGTTCATCTGAGCATGAATTGGGATATTTATGCTTTATGCAGATTACACAAAATATGTTTTGTTCTTCCTGATGATCCTGAGGCTACTTATACTTGCGGAGACCTGGCACGTGTTTTCATGTTAATTGCCTGTGACCAGTTCACAGTATGGTGGTGTTTGGGGTTTTTTTTCTTCATGTAAACAATGTCTGGGTAGACAAAAAGCCATGTTACTTGACATTTATAAAGCCTAAATATTGTTTCATGCGGGTGTGATTAGAATTACTTTTTTAATGGTACCTCCCAGTCACTGAAAAGATCTGCACGGTGTGTGTTTTGAATGTCTGACTAGTTTGATCATTACATACATGCACTTCTGAAAGTGTTTTCACCACTTGGGCTCATGCACAATAAAGCCTTGGTGATTTTTTTAAAATTAAATGTTTTGGCTATGTGAAGAGTGGTAAAGATGGCAATAGCCTTCTTAAGTCTTGCAGTAGGATGTTTTTCTGCTATCTCTTAACTTTAAGTTTTAGTTTCAGTTATTTGTAATATTTATCAAGCAGGGTGGATTATGTCCTGTTAATTACTGTAGCAATCTTTAACAAAAGCCAGTGACTTAGTGGTGGTACTTTGGTTTGTCCCCGTGCTGCATGCTGCACCAGTTAGGCATGTGCAGCCACGGTGCAGCTCCACAGCTGGCTGAAGCTAATGTAAGATTGTTACTACCAAAAAGGGGGATCCAACTCCTGTTTCCTCATTTTCGTTGTGGGCAGTGGTGTGTCTGTCAGTTTTGCTTGCTGGTTCAGCTGGGACTACTTTGTTTTTATGGTTGACTTTCAGCCAGATTAGCAAAATGAGTTGACTTGCGGTAATACCGGTGTAACGATGATGGCAGGGCGATTTGGAGTGGGGATCACCCAAACCCACATTTTTATATTAGAAAGAGGTTGGTTTAAGCTGATCGTGAAGCTTAGATTGTGCTATTGCATCATAAAGTTGCAGTAACAATTGTTTTACACTGATGTGAATTCCATATAAGGGGCAGATCTGACTGTGTACCAGTTCTGATATTCATATGGCCATTGACCTGCGAAGGTTGGGTTTCAGCCAGTTTTGTTTCCAGACCCAGTTTACTGCCTGGCAGTGTGAGTGCTGGAGATAGAAGGAACAAAGGAGGGAGGCCAGGACTGTTCTTGTGCCAGATTAAAGTGTAATCACAGGTGAAGACAGTTTCAGGTGTGTTTTGAGAACTGGGAGGGAGATGACTTGTCTTTTACAAAGGTTCCAGTCATCTAATGGATGGCCAGACATCTTGCTGTTTGGTCCATGTTACTGGCGATTGTCTCATCCTATAATAGAGGAAAGGATATGTTTTGGATATTGAACAAATACTTAGTACTTGCCATGTCTATACCTTGGGCAGAGGATGTCCGTAAATACAAGTACATCTTGCATTGTGTGTCCTGTTGGGGTTGTGTTTGTCATGTTGACAGAAATATTTCAGTAAATGAGAGTGTATTTTGGTGAGCTCTGGAAGGGCTTTTTGAAGTTTAAAATTACACTGTCAGTGGCTTACTTCAGCTGTCAGAATGTGAATCTATACCTTTCCAGATGCAATCTAAACCAATCAGTCTTAAACTTCCGGTGAAGGTGGTGAATTTTTTACTGGTATATCTAAGAAGTGGGTGCTTGTTTCCTTGGTTGTGCTGTGGGAGGTGTTAACGCAGCAGAGGAGCAAGAAGAGCAGAGTTGTAACTTAAACCCCCGCAGAATGGTTTGCAGGAGGTGGTCCTTTGATATCACAGGTGACTGTGCAACATTAATTGCATTTTGTAAAGCTAGGTCTTTAAGACTTCTGAATTTTACTATAGTGCATGCTTCAGTTGCATTCTGCAGATCAGCAAGGTCAATCCTTCATTATCGATTATAACTTTGGAATGAATTTATAGTTAATAGTAGCTTGTGGCTGCCTTGCGGAGAATGGACTGAGGGATGATATGACAAGAATTGAACACAACATCATAATGAATCATGGCGTGTACTGCTGCCAACGGAGCTTACAGTTGTGGCAAGTATATTAAGTCTACAACAACAAACACTTGTTGTTTTTCAAAACAAGCTAGGACTCAGATTACTAAAAACACATTTTCTTTTACAGCCAGTTCCAAAAATAAGCTGTTTACTGATGTTTCAGTATGGCCACTTTAAAATTTTTGCTTTAATATTCAGCTCTACAGGTTAGAGTTTTCCAAGGAGTGACTTGATTTTTTTTCCAAGCTTGTATGCTTTCCATATGGTAGATCACTCAAAGACCAAATTACTAAAAAGATTAAAGGTAGTATTAAGCATGCTGTTCTTAAACATGTATTTCACATTGAAACAGATCTTTGCATTAGCTTTCAGTTGTTTTATTTGTATCTCTCATCTCTTGGCATGTTTCTTTGCTATCCATCCAATAAGTTTTTCTTGTTTTCCTCACTTTTTAAACTATTTTCTTTCCTATAGAAACAAACAAGCTGTATTTCAGTTGTTTGTATTTTAACAGCTTTACCTTAATTAGCATGTGAAATGACATAATATGGAACAGTAAAAACCTATTTTTTCATATTAAAAGCATTAGTCTTAAACTTTTACGCAGACTGCGAGAGAAATTTTTCTTAAACATAATTGTCTGAAAAGTAAAGCAGGAAAATGCAAAACCTTCTTTCTTTGAAGGCAGTGTCAAAACTTTGAACTTCATTGGAATTAATATTTACAAAATGAAATCCTAAGAGAATCTGTGCTCAAAAAAGCAGAATGTTTTTGGAGTATTTTCATTCTTGGGAGGAGAGGATAATTAAATTTTGGAACTAATAAAATAAAATGCCTAAACTCTAAGCAGAAATGGGAAAATTTTTAAATTTGTCCTAAATAACAATGATGAGAACAATTAACATTTTCTAAATCCAAAGGAAGACTCTACAGAAAGGAGTGAAGAGAAGCATTTAAAATAAGCTGGTTTATTTTATAAAAAAACAAATATTGTGCCTAAAATAAAATAGCTCTGACTCTCTTCAGTGAAAGGCAAAATATCAGGATCCTATATAGCTTCTAGTGACAAAACACAAACCAAGTTGTTTGTTTTTTCTTATTTTTCATGGCCTTTTTTCAATGTACAGCAGTAAATGCCTGTACCTGTTACAGCTTGTAAAAGCCAGTAGCTTAGGTTTCTGTGTTCTTAGAGTTAATAGTGATTACTGGTTTAGTAGCATTCAATCAATTTTAAAGATCTAAAAAATTCTAGTATTCTTTCTTTAATTCCATTATATGCTTTTCTTTTTCAGCTCAGAAGATAAAATAACTGTTCATTTCATAAATCGTGATGGTGACAAACTAACGGCCAAAGGAAAACCTGGGGATTCACTGCTGGATGTTGTTGTTGATAATAACCTAGACATAGATGGTTTTGGTAAGTAGATACACTGAATACTGTATTCAGTGTCTAGAAATTATGTTCTATTACCAGTTTATTCATAAATATTTATAGAATCATAGAACCATTTAGGTTGGAAAAGACCCTTAAGATCGTTGAGTCCAACTGTAAATGAATATTTATTTATAAAACCTTTACTGTACTTCATTTGGATTTTCTCCCCATTTTTTTTCCTGCAGGTGCATAGACTATTTTGGGTCAAGTTCTAGAAAAATATTTGGGGTGAGCCTTGCTTGAATGTTAAAGGAGGGGAATGTGGGCAGAGTGCTGTCGAGGTGGAATCTGAAAGATGCCACCTGCAGACTCTTCTGAGCTGAAAGGTTCTGGAGGCAACAAAAAAACTGGTGTATTTCTAACAGCATCTGGTTACTTCAGTATTGCCATACTGTCTTACTTTATCAGGCTTCTTCTAGCACAAATTGCTGTAGTACTTGAGTGCGAAGTGAAAGAAACAACCGAGTACATGTCAGTTAACAGGGAAGAGCAAAAAATTTAATTCTTATTAAAGGACTGGGGTAAAGGAGACCAATGCCCTAGTGAAATTCTAACTCGGTACAAGTTCTGTTTAAAATCAAAATAGGAGGAAGTTACAACACCTTCCTATTCCTTCAAACTTTTGTACTTTCCGTAGTTAGTTCCATTGAAGTGGTAGGATTCTACCCATGCAAAGCAGTGGTATTTGGTAATGGCAATTAAATACCTCAGGACAGGTATTTACATGAACATGAGCTTAAGAATTAATAGTACAAACTAAAGCAGGAAGCAGAAGTACAATTTGCATGAGTGAATGCAGAGCATGGAGCTATTAGAGAAAAAAAAAAGTGTAGCACAGTTTGAAATCTGAGGTGTGTTTAATTTAATTACTAGTAATAAAGTATTTGATAAGACTTTAAATCTCAGACTTATGTCTGAGACAACTCATGTCTAGAGTTGCATACATTTGGGGAAGAATTGTCTCTTAAAAATCTGTAATGCATTGGGATAACTAGCTTTACGTATCACTTATTGAATGTGTGGAGCTATTAGAGAAAAAAAAAAGTGTAGCACAGTTTGAAATCTGAGGTGTGTTTAATTTAAGTGCTAGTAATAAAGTCTTTGATAAGACTTTAAATCTCAGACTTATGTCTGAGGCAACTCATGTCTAGAGTTGCATACGTTTGGGGAAGAATTGTCTCTTAAATCTAATGCATTGGGATAACTAGCTTTACATATCACTTACTGAATGTGTCATATAGGCTTATGGCTAGTCTGCTTGTATTCTACAGTAAATATTCCCTCAGTTTGTGTAAATATCAGCCATGTTAAAGCATTGTGGTAAAGGGGGGGGGGATAATGCTTGTTGATAAACAGAAGCCAAACTAAAAATTGGAGATACTGTAACAATCTTTAATTATAACATATGCTAGTCCCATTTCAATAATCATTTGCTAATGAAACATCATACTAGGGCAGAGGAATAATGCAGTATAAATAATGTAAAAATGTATGTTCTGTGTTCAGAAAGAAATGAGGGGAAAAAAATGTAAATCTTACCTATTTACTTCTATCACTAGGGGGCATCCCGTGTGCAGTAATACTAATAGAAATATCTTTGTGTAAAGACTTACAAAACTGTTGAATGATTCAGCTGCACTCAATTTGGTTGCTACTGCTAGAAAGACCTTCCGCTGTTCAAATAGACGGGTCAGTGTTCGTTCTTTCCCTCCCTCTTCTACCCTCATGTCCCCCAACATTAACACACTTAAACTGTTGATACGACAAATTTTACATTATTTGGCACTTTATTTAAACTCTTTTTCACTAACTACTTTTTCACATGCATTTGTATGTACTTGAAGACGTGATATATTTTAAAAATCAAGTCTAGTACAGTGTCATGTTCACTTTGAACATATGCTGTTGATAGCATTACTACATGTAACAGCACGGTGCTTTCTGTATGGTTCTTGTGGTCTGATGAATCCCACTGTTTCTTTTCATAGCAGTGGTTATACGTGCAGCCTTGCTTCCCTTTGTTTCCATATGAGTACAAAGGTGATGTGGTCACAATATTCTTGGTTCTGCTTTCCCTGGAAAGGAGGAAATAAATTAAACTTGGCTAATGTCTTTCCTGCTCCTCTTAATTTAAATTAGAGGTGGGGGTTTATGTGCCCCAACTCCAATCTCCACACAAGTATGAAGAGTTCAGCTTTCTCCTTCTCTTGAAGTTGTATGTTTCTTTTTCAACAAAGTGGAGAACTCGGTGCGCCAGCCCTATACAGTGGCAGAGACACATTTGTTAGTGTTCAAACTTTTACTGTCCCGTGATGACCTAACTGCTCTAGCAGGTAGATGTAGTTGATGCTTGTTCTGTTCAACCCTAGCAAATTATTAGACCCTTGGCTCAGGCTGGATTCCCTAGTAGTACATATAGGCCTCCTTAACACAGAGAAAACCATCTCTCTCTAGCCTGGCTACCTTTGTTGCTGGGAATTAGTGTTCTGTTGAGTGAGAAGAAATACCAAGTATAAAATCCCTCCTTCCTGCACTTTGAGGAATTTTTTGTATAGTAGATGTCTTCTGTTGAACTTCTTGAGGAAACCTCAAAACCATGGGAAAGAGAGGGACAGAAGGATCAACTTTGAGAATAAATTACGTAGTGTTGATTGACAGTGTTGTCTGCTTTCGCATTCTTATAGTAGAAAACTTTTCTCTCTAAATGGTAGAAAGGGAATTAGTTACGTATTTTAACTAACTACAGCATTCAAGTGAATATCAGTGTTGTAGAAACTGTAGAAATACTATTGACGGTTGAATGCAGAGTAGGTATATGAATGTGGGAATGTATTAAACATTAATTTTACTAGTCAACAGAGATACTTCTTGTATGAGACAAACAGTTATATATGAAGGATTTATTCTGAAATTCTGCTGTAATTTGAAACTTGAGTTTTCTGCTATCTTGATTTTTCTTTTTTTTTCCTTTAGGTGCATGTGAAGGAACGCTAGCCTGTTCAACTTGTCATTTAATCTTTGAAGACCACATATTTGAGAAACTAGATGCAATTACTGATGAAGAGATGGACATGCTGGACCTGGCATATGGCCTCACAGAAACGTAAGGCAACATAACACTTCGCTACATCAAAGAATGGAAAGAAGGGTTTGCAGATAGGGCAGTCCAGTATTCTTAGAATGCCTTAATCAGCTTTTAATGAATAGCTGGATTCTGTTACACAAATGGGACTGCCAAGTTTAAATATTGTTTATCTGAATTCATATTAAAAAGATGTCAGTACTGTTTTTGTAAACTGAAGAGTGGCCCTTACCAGTACTTGCTCTTCAGAGGTGTCTGATGCAGAAGTGTCAGAGACTGAAGTGTGACCAAAACCTCAGTTCCTTCAACAAAAACTTTGCTGCTGCTGTCATGTGTGTGAGTTTTCTTGTTCTTGTTTCCCTTCCCTTCTGTTTTCTGTCTCCATTAGTCTGTAGCTAGTTAATGGTTTTTTATGAATGTGTTTACATTAGTATTTTAGTTTTGGTCAGATCTTCTTTTCACAGAATCACAGAAGGGTTGAGGTTGGAAAGGACCTCTTGAGGTCATCTGGTCCAACCCCCTGCTCAAGCAGGGCCACCTAGAGCCGATGCCCAGGACCATGTCCAGATGGCTTTTGAATATCTCCAAGGATGGAGACTCCACAACCTCTCTGGTATTTATGTACATTGATAAGATCCCCCTCCTGAGCCTTCTCTAGGATAGGCAGTGTCCCCACTTGTCATGCTTTGACTCATGTCAGAGTGCTCTTCGAGCACACAAGCCAGAGTCCCTTTGGGTGAAACTAGTCCCAAAGTGTGCTCTAACTGCTAATGGGCATTTCAGTGCATAGGATTAGACTAGTGGTAGTCTAAAGTAACCCTCTGTTATATATCTCCCCCACCATCACACGCCTTGTAATTAGGGTGTCACATCCTCATCACAGACCCATTCCTAGTGGGCTGCACTACTTGCTGGTGTACATGTAGCCTGTATCATAGAACATACCCACGTGAACAGTAGGTAGCCATGCCTTACAAGGTTTCATAAGCCCTTTCCTTCATGCTTCAATGGAACTGCTTGTTGACGTTTTTGAGAATATTTCCAATGATGTCAGAGGGCTTTATACCTGGCCTGTATAGCATAGGGTTTTTTATGTTTCTGCAAAGGAATACTCTGAACTAACTTGCTTATCTCCTTATACTAGTAAATGGAATCCTGTACTAATCGTTTCTACATGAGGGTACACTTTTTCTCACTTCAGCAAAATCTTAGCTTGACTTCTTTGCCTTTACAACCTCCCAGAAAAGTTATGAGAAACTTTTCAGCTTCTTCTGTTTTATCCTTTTTCCTGTCTCCCAAAAAGCATTTGCAATCTTGAAAAAAAAAAAGTCATAAGTCTACTAAGTGTGAATTTACTTTACTCTTACCATCTACCATAATTCTCCTATGAGTTTTTAGGGTCTGGGCCAAACCAATTACTTGGTATTTTGTGCTGATGTAAACTTGTGTGATGGAGATGCACTACTATGCTCTGTCATAAGTGTAAGGATAAAAGCTTTGTCTTGTCAGTGACTCTCTGGATTTAGGAAAGCTTCAGCTAGGAGCTGCCATGAAGGTTAATGTTTTTTAAAACGAGGGACTAATTAGAAAGGTTAAAACAAAATGGGTTTGAATAACTGCAGAATAGTAGAGATTATTAAAAGTAGTAAGATGGAGGGGGGACAAACCCTGGCAAATTAAATGTTTAAAAAGAATAATGAAGAAAAAAATAAGCTGAGGAATAGCTTGCTAAAAAGTAGAAAAGTATTTTTGTTTCTAACCTATCAGAAGCAGGAAACTTGTCTGCATGAAAAGCCAATAGGTGATGTAGAAGGTGCACTTAAAATATAAAAAGATAACATCAAAGCGAAGTTTCTTTTGCATTGTTGTCACTGGAGATGTTACAGGATGTCCATGCACTGGAAGGTTTCTTTGCAGAGGGCTTCCTGGAGTATCTGATGTGTCCATAGAAGTAGTATTACAGCAAATAAGTAAAATGAGTAGTAACAAATGCTAATGACTAGATAGCATTCAACCAGGAGTTCTACAGGCATTCAATGTGACACTTCTGAACTACTGTCTGTAAGGCTTAATTAGTTGGTTTAAAACTGCTTCCACATCAAAGGAATAGAAGGTAGCAACCCAGCTTTTGAAATGAGGTCATTGGAACTGGAGAACAGTGAGTCTGATTCCATACTGGACACATTAATCATGTGTGTATGGGCTGTTGCTTTTTGATAGTTTCTACTAAATAATGGTAAGGAAAGAATTCAACAGAGCTTTTGTAGAGGGAAGTAACAGATATGGGAGTTCTTTGAATGAGTTGCTGAGCATGAAGAAAGATCTTACAGTTCATATAGTTTACTTAGGTCCAGAAATCCTTTGCTGAGTTTTGAGTTGCAATAGGATAAGAGCAAAGGCCCTGTAAAGGATGGGTAATTGAGTTTAAAAAAAAAAGTCTTTTTAGGAAGGTAGAAGTCTTTGGCTGTCTGTGAAGAGTATGTGATCAACAGTGTGATCTAAAAGTGATCGGTGCTAGGTTTTATGTAGGGAGTGTATTTGTGAAAGACTTGGGAAAAGAGAATGAAGAATAAGAATCATAGAATCATAGAATAGAATCATAGAATCATTAAGGTTGGAAGAGACCTCCAAGATCATCGAGTCCAACCATCAACCCAACAACACCATGCCCACTAAACCATGTCCCTAAGCGCCTCATCTACCCGTCTTTTAAATACTTCCAGGGATGGTGACTCAACCACTTCCCTGGGCAGCCTGTTCCAATGTTTAACTACTCTTTCAGTAAAGAAATTTTTCCTTACATCCAATCTAAACCTCCCCTGGTGCAACTTGAGGCCATTTCCTCTCGTCCTTTCGCCAGTTACTTGGGAGAAGAGACCGACACCCACCTCGCTACAACCTCCTTTCAGGTAGTTGTAGAGAGCAATGAGGTCTCCCCTCAGCCTCCTTTTCTCCAGGCTAAACAACCCCAGCTCCCTCAGCCGCTCCTCATAAGACTTGTGCTCCAGACCCTTCACCAGCCTCGTTGCCCTTCTCTGGACACGTTCCAACATCTCAACATCCTTCTTGTAGTGAGGGGCCCAAAACTGAACACAGTATTCGAGGTGCGGCCGCACCAGTGCTGAGTACAGGGGCACTATCACTTCCCTACTCCTGCTGGCCACACTAGTTCTGATACAGGCCAGGATGCCATTGGCCTTCTTAACCACCTGGGCACACTGCCGGCTCATGTTCAGCCGGCTGTCGACCAA